TCTCTTCTCTTCTCTTCTCTTCTCTCTCTCTCTCTCTCTCTCTCTCTCTCTCTCTCTCTCCTCTCTCTCTCTCTTCTCCTTCCTCCCTCTCTTCCCTCTCTTCCCTCCTTCCCTCCTTCTCTCTATCTCCCTCTCTCCTTTCTTTCCTCCCCACTTCCTTCTCCTCCCATTCCTGTTCCCATTTTACCCAAGTGCAGTGCAATTTTCGTGCAATAAGCTGTTCGATTTCAGCCCGGAGATGGCATTGTGGCTGTGCATAAGAGATGCATTTTTCACGATCCGGCCCCCCCCCTCCCCCTTCCCCTCCCTCCCTCCCCCTCCCCCCCCCTCCCCTCCCCTCCCCCCCCCCCCTTCACTTGATTGTGTCCAGTATTTTACGTATATAATATTCATTGATGTTGAGTGCGCACTTCCTCGCATTACGCACATGTATGTATGTACACGGAAACGCATATGTATGTACTTACTTACATGTCTGTGCACGTATGCGTATACGCATACATTAGAAACGCATACATATATACTTACCTACATGTCTATACACATATTTCTATACACACGCTTATATACACACAGGCAGGTGCACACACAACACAACACACACACACACACACACACACACACACACACACACACACACAAACAAATACACACACATGCTACCTTTCCCTTTTGCCTATTACCTAAGGAATATTACCATGTAATGCATATCATCCATACCCAATTGCAGTATGAGACATCTTGCATACCCACTACCCACTACCCATTATCTTTACCATTCATCATTCATCACCTTTTAAAACCTTGGCCATACCCATTATTCACTATTTATGAGACAATTTACCCATTACCTTATGGGTCACTTTCCCATACGCGAGACCCCTTACCTTATGAGGCATTTTACCCATACTCCATTACCTTATGAGACGTTTTAGCCTTACCCATTATCGTGTGGTAGTTTACCCTTACCCATCAATCAATGGGTGGCATCTTACCCATATCCATTGGCCATCTTATGTGAGGTTGGTTATCGGTACCCATTACCTAGTGATACGTATTACCCATTATCCATTACCCATTTACCTTCTGTTGATATAAAGAGCCCAAATATTTCTTGTTATTATAATTACATTCGGATGATGATGATATATATAATAGGATAATATATAATAATATGATGATAATAATAATAATAATAATAATAATAATAAAATAATAATAATAATAATAATAATAACAACAACAACAATAATCAAACGCAAAAAAAAAAAAAAAAAAAACAGCACAAAAGATCCTTAACAACGACTTTTGAAGGAAAACGAAATTGAGGAAAAAATTGAAAGAATTCGCCAAACAACCCAACTGCTTGTTCTCGTCCTCGTTAGCAGCAAGTGCCATTAGCCTTAATTGAAAGAAACAAATTGGGGGAGTGACGATTGGTGATAAAATGAGTGACTAGGAATTTAGGTTTTATATGCGTGTGGGAATCTGATACGTAGAATCACATACATACATAGATACATACAGACAGACAGACAGACATAACATAGACACATAGGCATATATATATATATATATATATATATATATATATATATATATATATATATATATATATAGTATATAGATATATATATATATATATACATACACAGATAGACAGACAGTTATACATAGCACAGTTGCATACATATATACATACATACGATCGCACGTACCCACACACACACACACACACACATACACACACACACACACACTCACATACATACATACTCATACTCACACACACCACACACACACACACACACACACACACACACACACACACACACACACACACACACACACACACACACACACACACACACACACACACACACACAACACACACATTACTGTTATATGTAGTATATGTTTGGTTGCGCGCGTGCCTGCCTGTACGTGAATAGGGAGAGAAAGAGATGTGTAATTATTTGTACACACATGCTTACATGTACACATACATATGTATAAGGAGTGAGAAAGAAAGAGATAGGGAAAATGGAGGAAAAGACAACGATAAACAGTGAGACAAAAAGAACAAGAAAAGGAGACATAGCATAATACTGATAATGGGGAAAATAAGAGAGACGAGAGACAGATAAGGAGAAAGAAAAATAAGAAAAGAAAGAGAATAAATGAAAGATAAAGAAAAAATAACAGAAAATTAGAAGAAAATAAGCAGACTGAAAGACGAATAAGAAGAACCAAAGAGAAAAGAGGGAGAAGAGAATAATAACAAAAAAAGAACCAAAGAGAGAGAAAACAGAAAATAAAAGAAACAACCAAAAAGAGAAAGAAAACACCCATTAAAAAACAAACAAACAAATAAGAACCAAAGAAAGAGATAGAAAAAAAAGAATAAAAAAGAGAAACAAAGACAGACCCAAAAAAGACCAAAAAAAAGAATAAAAAAAAAAACAATAAAAAAAAAAAAAAAAAAAAACACCACACACACATAAACATAAAAACAAACGAAAACAAGAGAAAAGTGCAAGGACTCACCGACCCACGGAGTCGAGCAACAGCAACCAGCAAGCGATTGCAAGACTGCATTCTCTCAACTCGATGTCAACTGCATACTTAATGAACCCTCAATTGCCTCCAGAACCTGTGACGAGAATCGAATAGAAACCCGACGCCTTCGATCAATAAAGATAGATGAAGATGTATATAAGTATAGATATAGATATAACAAAGATAGAACAGCAACGCCCTCGATCAATAATATATATATATATATATAATATATATATATATATATATATATATATATATATATATATATATATATTATATATATTATATAATATATAGATAGATAGATAGATTGATAGGTAGGTAAGTAGGTAGATATAGATATAGATACAACAAAGATAAAACCCAACGCCTTCGATAAATAAAAATAGATGAATATATAGAGAGATAGAAATATAACAAATAAAGATTTTTAAAAAAAAAGTAAGATAGAAGACAAAAAAATAAGATAAAAAAAGATAAAATCCTTTTTCACCTCCTTCCATATCTCTTAATTATTCCATTTCTTCTCTTCTCCGTGTTTCTCCGTCTGTTTTTACCTTATTTTGCGGTTTTTTTTTTCTTCTCTTCTCCGTCTTTCTCCATCCGTTTTAGCATAATATGTTTTTCCTCTTTGTCTTTCTCCGTCTGATTTATCCTATAGTGTTTTTTTTTTTTTCTTCTCTTCTCCGTCTTTCTCCGCCTCTTTTATCATATTGTGTGTGTTTCTCTTCTCCATCTTCGTCTTTAAGTGCAGGTGGTGCAGGATAAAATGTCTTAAAATTAAGATGTTTCTAAATGTCTTTGTGAGTTAGGGAAGTGTATGTAAGTGTACGTTCAACCTCTCCGTACAGGCGAATGTTGGTTTTTAGATTGCATGAGTAGAATGAGGAGAAACACATGCATGCACACACATAAGGCATGTGAGCGCACATATATACACATACATATATATATATTTGTGTGTATTTGTGTGTGTGGGTGGGTGGGTTTTTGCGTGTGTGTGTGTGTGTGTGTGTGTGTGTGTTTGGTGTTGGGTGCGTGCGTGTGTGCATGTGTGTAGATGAATGTATAAACATAAGCACTTGAATAATTTGTCCAAAAGAGAATATTTCTTAACCAAACCATGTCTACAACAAGACAGAGCCTATAGCACGTGATCTCTCTTCTCGTCTCCTCTCTCTCTCTCTCCTTTATCCAGCGTTGTCAGAACATTTTCTCCTATTGTACCCCTTATTACTTTCTTCTACTGTTACGTACCCCCCCCCCCCCCGTCCACCAAATCGTATAATAATAATGCAAATTGTAAACCTAATTATGAGAAGATTGCGTTGCAGGAGTGTATTGGTTAATAAATTCGAAATTAATACACGAATAAATAAGATGATTCATAGAACATGTGATGTTTCGGTTTGTGTGTGTGTGTGTGTGGTGTTGTGTGTGTGTGTGTGTGTGTGTGTGTGTGTGTGTGTGTGTGTGTGTGTGTGTGTGTGTGTGTGTGTTGTGTGTGTGTTTGGACAACACTGGTCTAGTTAATAAAGGGTATATTAATGTTTATTCGTATCTCAGGGCGTAAAGTAATTTTATGATTAAGCTTAAAATTACCTCTATGGTCATTGGTTTTATGAGCTATATTGTTATTGTCATTCTTGTTATCATCACCACCACTACCGCTATTATTGTCGTTATTATCTCCTAATCACCTGAAATGTTCATTCCACCGCAGAAGACAATATCTCTATATATATACAAACATAAACACACACACACACACACACACACACACACACACATACACACACACACACACACACACACACACACACATATATATATATATATATATATATATATATATATATATATAATAATATGTGTGTGTGTGTGTGTGTGTTGTGTGTGTGTGTGTGTGTGTGTGTGTGTGTGTGTGTGTGTGTGTTGAGTAGACAGACAGATTGACAAGAGGTACATAGAGGAGTATTTATACCACTAATGTTAGGCGGTCAGGTCACATCGGTAATCAGGTGAGCGACGACCTTGGCTAGTCCATGACTCCCCGTAGCGGTGTTGATGTACGTTGTATGAATGAACGCCCCTTCTACCATTTTCCTTCGTCGTGGGGGCAGGTCTCGTTTTATGATGGAGACCTGGGACCACTTCGGGAGGTGGCCGTCGGTGTCTACGTGAACAACGAAGGCGCTTCTCGTGACATGCCGGAGAGCGCTAGAGTCCTCGTGGTGTCACCTATGTAAACTTTATCACAGCCACCACAGGGTATGCTGTCCACCAGACTGAGGGGTCTGTTGCGGTTTGTCCTTTTTTCTCTCAAGATGTCTCCGTTCTTCTTACCTGAAGTCGTAACTGTCGACTCAGGCAAGTGGCTCACTAAGGCCTCTGAAGTCGTAGCTATCTTTTAGTGTGGCTCACTAAGGGTTCCAGGT